TCCCAGCCTCAGGCTGAACATGTCACCTCATCCAGCCTGTTCATCGGAGCACAGCAGGGCTGGCAAAGCCTTGCCTGACCCATGGCGTTTCTCACTCGGGGGGTCTCTGGGCTGCAGCCACAGCACAGCTGCCCATAGGTGTGCATGGCGAGCAGCAGTGAGACATGTCCCCAAGGGCCTCACAGCCCCTCACTCCCTTCTCCAGCACACGGTGATGCAGTGACTGAAGCCAGGGTCAGGCAACCATGGGGTCAGGATCCCCAGGTGCCTGGTGAGGAGCAGGAAATATAACTAACCCATCCCACCGGGACAAGCGCCGCAGCCGGCAGCTCGGCCCCACTGGACAGGAGCCAGGAGGAGGCAGGAAAAGTGGCTGTTGTGGGTGGATGGCACAGGGCACTGCTGCCCACTGAGCTCTCAAATACTCCCTCAAAAGGTTTGCGCTGGTTTCCCCAGCCTTCCTGAGCCCAGCCCTGTTTGAGCTTGGCTCGGCCCCATTGTAACCCAGTCCTCGGCAGCCCAGGTTTATATGTGCACTTCTGTTCCTTTAGCCAGCAGGAACAGCAGGGCCTGACACGAGATTTAGGTGAATAGGAGGATGAAAGGAGAGATGATGACAAGAGGCAAAGAAACAGTAAGGCTGGCTAGCTGGAAAGCATCCAGACCTAGAAACCTGGGACTATGGACCACAGCAAACTTCCAGCACAGTGTCTGCCTGCGGAGCTCAAACACGGCATTGAGCAGGAGCCTGTGCCTGCCCATCCAAACTTAAATTGCTGATCTGCTCTCTGGCAGCTTCACTTTGGGCAGCTGGCCCTCTCCCACATAAGGCTCAGGCACGAGTAACACATGCGGGGGTCTGCTCCCCAAAAAACCTTGAATTTGGCCACTTTGGTTTTTGGGGAAAAAAAAAATCCATCTATGTGTTGATCGATCCATCCAGTGTACTTGCCGGCCTTTTGGGACAGTGAGAGGTCCCTGGTCTGTCCTGTTCACTAGTATAGCCACAGCCAGCCTGCACTAAGCCGCTGCCACTCACAGTGTATCCTCAGGAACGCGGTGCAACCCTGGGTGCAACATCCTGCATGGGCCCCGGGGAGCACCGCTTGACGTGGGTGCAGGTGTCCACTGCTCCGCAGCCCGGATGGCTGGTGCTGCCTGCCTGACCGCCCATGCAGGGGGGGGTCTCAGCCACTCCCCTGCCACAGCTGGGAGGATGTCCTCGTGTCACACAAGAGCTCCCCGGAGGGGTGGGGATCCGGGGGAGGAAGAGGAAGGCCCTCTGCAAGCTGACCCCATATGGCAACTGCCCTGTAAGGGAGGACAGGAGGGTGACAACATGGTCCTTCACACCCACCTTGTACGTTTGGGTTTTCCCCCAGGTCTCCACTCTCCTGCTTTACTCCTTCAGTCGACTGCTCAGTGCTGGGCTGTCCTGCTCATCTTCCTCCATTTATCCTGGTCCACAGCAAACTGGCAGCTCATGTGGTTTTTTAACCTTATTTGTGTCTTTACTTTTTTAAACTCTGCAAGGGTAATTCTTTAAAACGTTTGAACTTCTGGGGTGTCTAGCTCTAGAGATCCTCCCCAGCACAGAGAGCCCATCTCAGACAGCATCTCTTTTCCCAGGGATGGGCCGACTGCAGCAGGAAGAGCTTCCTGCATGCTCCAAGTTCCCTTCCAAGCAACATCACCGGTTTGGACCTCTCCTTCAACTCCTTGGTCATACCCCATCATGGGACTCTCTTGATGCATTTCCCTTCCCTGCGCTCCCTCAACCTCTCTAGCAATGCCCTGCTGGCGTTGGGCCCAGCAGTCTTCTCCAGCCTTGGGGCACTGCGTCTTCTGGACCTGAGCAGCTGCAGCATCACCTACCTCCATGCAGATGCTTTCAAGGGCTTGGGAAACTTGCACACACTACTCCTAAGAAATAACAGTCTGCAAGAGCTTGAGGTCCCTTTCTTCCTGCCGCTGAAGGCTCTTTTCCACCTGGACCTGCAGCACAATGCGCTGGTCTCTGTGGACGCTTTGAGCCTGCAGCTGATGGAGGCAGTCCCGCAGGTCCGGCTGGAAGGGAACCCCTGGGTCTGCGACTGCACCGTGTACCCTCTGCAGCAGTGGCTGCAGCACAGGCAAGGTGAGCAGATGGGGTGGGTGGCAGGAGAGGGGTTGGGCGGGAGGAACCCCACGTACAGCGGTCCCACTCGATCCTTTTGCTCCAACCCCTGGGCAGGCTCTGAGATGGCTCCAAGGACCTCTCCCAGCCTGCTGAGGGTCACAAAACTGAAATGTGTTAGTTCCTTGCTTGCAGTTACACATGACACCAGAGATTTCTGGGAACAACAGGATAATTTAGGAACTCTTTTGGGAAAGAGGCTGCACGTATATTTCAGCCCCTAAATCTACCTATTTGTATCTATGTGGAGCGACCATATTTCCAAGAGCTACTGAGCACTTGGCAGCTCCTCCTGTGGAGCTGGGACTCTCTGAGCTCAGCTCCCAGGTGAGAGCAGCCCTGCAACAGTGGGGTTTCTATCAGTATCCACGAATTTGGCATTATCCATTTAAAAGGAGCCTGCTAATCACAGTCACACACTCGCATGGTTCCTTGGTCAGGGAATTTTTTCTTTAGATGTGCCTTACAACATGCTGAGGGTCGGTGAGGCTGAAGGGCAGAGCAAGGAGCACGATGTGATGTGTGCCATCGACCCAGGAGCAAGCAGAGATCATCTTCTCTAAACTGGGAAGGGGATGAGCAAAGACACCCCGTCCCACCTTGGCTTATGTGTCTCCCAGCTGTGCAGGTAACCTGCGCATCTCCCCCCGGGCTGCGGGGCCGGGAGGTCGCAGCTCTAGATTCCCAGGACCTGGGCTGCCAGATGAAGCAGCGGTTTCCTCGGGAGGTCAGCACGGCGCAGCAGATCACAACGACCCACAGCAACAGTAAGTTGTGCAGCTATGGAGGTGTCCATAAGGTCTATCTCCCTCCTGCCCTCCACCACCCCAGAGGGGACAGCAGGCAGGGACCCCCTGCTCTGCTCTGCAGTCCCACGACTCAGGCTGCCTGGCCAGCGCTGGTACAGTGGCTCCATGGGGAGGGTGGCCTCCGGTGGTGGCTTGGTGGGGAAGGTGGCCACCACCTGGTGGTGTTTGCTGGCTTTGCAAGAGAAAAGGTAGCAGATGGCACAGTGGAGCCACATGGAGCACTGACTCCACAGTGATGGGCACCAGTATCAGACATTGTCTGTCAGTTTTCCCCACAGTGTTCACACACCCTTGGTAGCTTGCTCTTGGTGAAGAGCATTTATATTGTTCCCAATAAAATCAATCCAGTGCTGGCTGCATGCTGTAGGCCTGCACGGGGCTGGCTGGGGTAGTGCTGGGTGTGCCGCAGGCTGATGCGCCATGCGCTGACGTGTCTTTCCTGCACCGCAGCCACCACACTGCCCACCGGGAAGGGAGGAAGGAGCTGGCCATACCTGGTGGGCTTCCTGCTGGCAGCAATTGGCATCTCCATCCTGATTGCGCTGGCTGCCAAGTGCAAGCTCTTCCACAAGAACTTCGCCAGCTACCGCCACCGGCCGCTGCCTGAAACCAGCTCAATCGGAGGCAGCCCCATGGAGGACGGCAGCGGCTGGGACAGGGGCTCCTCAGGCCAGGAGGCCAGCAAGAGCAACGCCATGCCCGGTGTTGCTGACCTGCAACCTGAGGATGATGATGGCTTCATCGAGGACAACTACATCCAGCCAAGCGAGCAGCTGCCG